ATACTCTTTTTCCTACTCATTTGAGTATGTCTCGACATACTCATTTTCAATTTTTTTTCTCCTCAGAAAAAGTTATATATCCTTTATATATTTTTCTGAGGGAGGGAAAACGAGTGAGTAAGTGTAGAGTTACTCTTTGGGTAAAAACTAAGTATGTCGATACATACTCCAATGAGTATGAAAAAGAGTATGAAAAAGAGTAGGAAAAAGAGTAGGTGTAGAGTTACTCTTTGGGTAAAAAATGAGTAGGTCGAGACATACTCCAATGAGTATGAAAAAGAGTATGAAAAAGAGTAGGAAAAAGAGTAGGTGTAGAGTTACTCTTTGGGTAAAAAATGAGTATGTCGAGACATACTCAAATGAGTAGGAGAAAGAGTATGAAAAAGAGTAGGGAAAAGAGTAAGTGTAGAGTTACTCTTTGGGTAAAAAATGAGTAGGTCGAGACATACTCAAAATCAAAGAGTATATACTCTGAGTATATACTCTCATACTCAAAGAGTATCTATGAGTATGAGAGTATGTCGAGACATACTCATTTTCAAAATGAGTGAGTATGAGAGTATATACTCGCGAATTCGCCCACCTGTATTTTTTTTCCTTCAGACATTTGGTTGACTTTTTTGTGCTCTCTCTCTCTCCCTCTCTCCTTCTCTCCCTCTATGTGTTTGTGTGTGTTTCGATTTATTCCGCTTGATTTTGCCAATATTTATTTTTAGGCGCCGGATGAATGTTTGATACGTGTATATATTTCTGTGGCTGTTTTTTTTCTCTCTTCTTCTTCTGCTTCTTTTGCGTATACTTAAATGAGTAATCGAATCGAATGTTGAACATGTCTAGCTCGTGCGAATAAACCGAACGTGCATTTTTAAATTCAAATTATTTTAAACGAGAAAAGAAACAAATTAAGCAAATTATTCTAATGAATATTTTTTCCTTTTTCTGATTTGAGAGAATTAAAGGAATAATTTGTAATTTACAGTCCTTGATTTACACTTCCTATTTGGCTGATTTTCGCAGATAAGTGCTAAATATATAGACAAATCTTCTTAATTTATTTGATTCTCTTTTGATTCCCTCGTGTTTTTCCCTCTCTCGCGAAATTCGAATTAGCACTATCAACGAAGCTAATTTTACCGAGCTATCGCTCAGCTGGATGCAACCGATTAGGCAGGTTATACCTACTATTCTATAATTGAAATACATTTTCTGCTCGATTGCCTATAGACACACGACGAAATAGCAACAATTCGTTCGGCCGGCACAATTCACCTAGTTTTGCGGGTTGCTGTGTACGCATTTGGGTACGTCTCTGATTTATCTGCTTGTGAATACAAATGACGTCGAAGCATTTCTTATCTCTCGCAACCGGCGTTTTTGTTCAGCGTCATCTTTTTTTTTGAAACAAACGAATGAACAAACGAATGAACAAACGAAACGAACTCTGTTCCCATCGTGCGTCTGTTGTCTACACATGCAAATGTGTGTATTTATACTTTGGTGAGTGAGCATATTCAATTCTTAACATAATTCGACGATATTTTAGTCTAAATATCAAGATTTACGAGGCGCTAAGAGAATCCATTTGTTTATATCTCATAGCACGAAAGCCTTTGCCATTTTCACATACACCGTGGAGAGGAAACCGAAGTTAAAAAGTTGTGAGAAATTTCATATGGTATTTTTATCGTCACGAGGGTTTTTTTTCGACATTTTCTCACATTTAAATCAAATCTTCAAGCCTCTAATTTTGTGTTAGTAGATTTCCAAAGTGGAAACTAGTTTGGATCGGACGTCCAACAATTTCTGAGAAACTTCAAAAAATTAAATCGATCGTCATTACAAAGTGTATCACATTTCACAAAGAAACTCTTTCGAAAATAGAATCCTTTGATAGTGATCCGCTCTCTCTCACATACTATTTTTTGCCATAGTTACAATCGGAAGATGTTAAACGAAAACAAATAAATTCCTGGTCGTGGGAATCGCTGTGGGAAAATTGAAGAATGCCTCTGATGAGATAGAAAAATTGTGTGTGTGTGTGTGTGTAAAATTAAATGGTCTTGTTAAAACCAAATTCATTTTCAATCAAATCGACTGTTTTATCCGAGAGAGTGATAGAAAAAGTGGCCAAAACTCGATTACTATCCAGCCGGAATGTGTTTGCTTCTATGTGTAAATAATATTCTATAAATGTAATACAAATGTGTAAACAAATCCGTTTTTCTCGGCGGATACATCAAAGCCAACCTAATCGATCCATGCGTGTTGTTGATTACCTCTGCGGCATGATTTGCTTATAATTCTTTATCTTTAATCAAATTATTCCCACTTAATCCGTTTTTTTCGTATTTAATCGGTTTTTTTCTTAAAAATTCAATCATAGAAACGAATACCTACTTCAAAAACGAGTTCACTGACACATTCGCTTCAGACCGCAGGAAAAAAATGCTTAAAATTATGATCATAATCTCTTTCAAAGTAATACTTATGAAACAGAGATAATGTCGCGCCGAAAACCGACACACTTGCAAAACGCTTATATTTCAAGCATGATTTTCTGGTGTCGTTGTCTTGCAAAAGTGGTCTAACTTTCGAAAATGCCTCTCCTTGTATT